AGCACTATATATACCCTTTTAATTTGATTTTCTTTCCATTTTAATATCATGAGTATAATTTGAATAAAATTTATTAATTTGGTTGATATGAATTGGTAAGCAGAAAGATAAAGAATAATTTAGAAATTTTAAATAAAAATCAAAAATTATGTTGAGAGTAACATACTTTAATTGTAATCTTATAATAATTTCAACTTTTCCCCAATGTTATTGTAAAGCCTTAAATTTTTATGGCCCCCTAACAATTATCACTCATTTTCTAATTTAAAACCTCTGACCTATAATGAAATAGATCATTATTGTGGAGATTATGTATCTTTGAAAGCCTCTGCAATTCTAATTTAAAAATACAGGAAAGAAGACTATTTAAATTATTTTAATACATTAATCATAAGTAATTTTTTTAATGAATACACTTTTTATTCCTTTCATGATCATGAATAAGAACTATCATTTATAAATATAATAATCAATTATTATTTTTAGAAGGGCTTATATGTTATGTAATATATGAAAATATTTGAATGTGTTGTTCATAAGGATGAAAGGTGAAGAATAATAATATTTTTCTAATACACCAGAAATCATATTTATTAAAACAAATTTATTATTATGTCTTAAAGATATATTCCAAAGAAATTCTAGAAAGTAATCTCGATAAGGCAATAAGCTATGCGTATCCCTTTGAAAAGGAATTTCCAAGAGGAGGTAGGATTTTTTGTAAACACTATATGATGAGCTTAATTATTAAAGAACAATCAGATTTTGCCACAATCTATAAAAAGAAAGTATAAATAATATAAGAGTAGTAAGAAGTTATTGGGGTTTATATATCATCAATGAAATAAATGGAAAGGTTTGAGAAAATGGTAAAAAGGAGGATGAATTGGCAATTAAGATCGATCATAGCCTAATGTTCTATATTACATCAAAAATAAGAATAATCTCTGCTCAAGAAGAAGAAAAAAATTTATTTGACAAACAATTAGGAGGATGTTGAATTATTAAGGGGCTTGAAATTAAATAACACTTCAAAACTAATGCAGAGAAGAAACAGAAGAAGATCTCCTTGTGAAATAGTTTTTTATTAGATAGTGTAAAAAAATAGGCATTATGCACAAAGCTTGAGATAAAAATGACCCACCTTAAATTTTTTAACAGCATATAAAATATCACTATCCCT